GACTCGGTACTCGACCGAAATTACCACAAATCACTTATTTATTTCAACACTATCAATGTATTTTCACTTCATTAAATTAGAGGAAATTTGTGGGAAAAAAAATAAACATTACACTTTGAGGTTTTAGAGGTATCTGAAAATCTAATTTCCAATATAGGCCTATACTAAATGTGACTCGTGACTTGGACTCGGCTTCGATCTTATTGATTCGGAATTCGGATTTGGACTCGACTTTTATTGACACGAATAAAGTCTGGCTTTTAACATCGTTTTACGGCTAAAATTGCCCTCATTCAGTTTTCGTTGTAGTAGATTGTTACACAAATAGTTAATCTTCAAAATTTGTCGTTAATGTTTGCCACGTTTACGGACATTTCAATGAACATCTATATTCATAAATTGTGCGGAACCACTATAATCCAAGATCATACATCCATTTATAGAACGCGTTGTCGCGACAACCCATCCGCCTCCACTTACGGCCGTTTATGCTTACAATACAGTCGCCATGGCAACCTAATAATCGTAACTAATGGAATTCTCGGCCCACAGTGAGCAATGAAACACCGTCAGTAAACTGCCATGGTGATGACTCAAGGAAATGAAAGGAACGTTTTCTCTCCTTGTGTTATCATCTTAGTGGGATGAACGACAATCTAATGTTGGAACACCGACGTGATATAAGTAGTCCTGTGGTTACAGTATTTGACTCATGTACGATGGTGCGTGGGTTTGAACCCGGCCAGGAACGTGGTGTTTGTGCCCTTGGGCAAGACACTCATCTACAATTGCCTCTCTTCACCTAGGAATATGAATGGGTACCTGTGAGGGTAGAGGACCGAATATGCGCTGATATCGGCTGACGCGTGGTCTAGCTCGTGGCCTGATGAATAGGGGAATAATTGCAAAGTGCTTTGAGATTGTTGATACGGTGGAAAGCGCTATATACGCACTACAGTTTCTTTTATTTATTTTGTACACAACAGTTGCCAGGGCCGTAGCGAACGAGAGTGGGGTGGGGTGGGGGTTGTATGGGGTCATCAAATCTTCAAGTTATATTGGTGGTTTGCAAAAACATGTTGCAAAGATACCGTTTTACACCATCGGTATTAAAGACAGATTTCGGTGTAAGTACTCTCTCATTAAAAAAAAAATGAAGATTCACTCACGCGAATAAATCTAGAGTCAATCGAATAAGTCCGAGTTTCATTCTACATTTTTTCACTAAATTATTCTAATCTGAAATTAAAATGAATTCACTCTAAATCGAACGGTTCCCTATATAGTTTCACTCTTCGGAGAGAAGAGAGTATTTTCCATGGTTGGTTTTTGGAATCATTGATGTTTTCAATGTTGATTGATGTTCGTGACATTTATGTTAATCGTCCATTTTGTTTTTTAATGATCGCTTTGGTTGGACATCAACACTTGTCTATATGCAACACTAGTGAAAAGAGAACACTTTCATAATATGCTTCAACTTCCAAACTTAAACTTAAATCTTTGCTGTGTGCATAAGCCAATATGGAAGGTTGTTACAACTGATAATGTAGTAACCAACGGATAATGTATCACCAACCGATAATGTCACACAAATTGACCGATACTGTATCACTAACCGATAATGTAACAGAAATTGACCGATAGTGTAGTAAAAATGTATTACACTATCAGTCGATTGTTGTTACATTATCTGTCTTAACCGATAATGTAACAAATATTGACCGATAGTGTAGTAACATTTACTACACTATCGGTCAATTTCTGTTACATTAACGGTTAGTGATACAGTATCGGTCAATTTGTGTGACATTATCGGTTGGTGATGCATTATCCGTTGGTTACTACATTATCAGTTGTAACAAAGGTTCTTTTTAGATTTAGCTCTGATTGGTAACTTATGCTAAAACTACTCTCCGTCCTTACGCGTGCTCTTCTCGAAGTGAAATTTTCCTTCTGACAAATTTTGAATCTATGTGTCTTATTAGTTAAACAATATTTGCTGGCAGTCTATTCTGGGCTTTTTGCAACCCTCCATTTTATTTTTGTTATTCTGGGTCGGTTTTTGCACCATTAAACACCTTTTATTTTGTCTGGCGGCAATTCATTCAAATTTTGCAAACTAGTCTCATCTTAATGTGAATAACTAGAAAGAAATAGCAACTTATCAGACAACAAATTTTGGCGATTGATTTTTTGATTTCGTGCATAAAAAAAATAATCAGATAAAAAAAAAAAAAATTAGATATTTTTTGTCTTATCATGGTTTGTTCGTTATATTCAACACACAATCTATTATTCCAGACCTATCTGGAAAACTCGGTGTGCATGTATTTGCATTGCATTAATTACCTACTAAATCTCCCAACAGTTTTGTTTTGTTTTAGTTAAGCCTAGGCCCCGTCTGTTTCTAAAAAAATGAGAGAAATAAACCATTTAACTAGCTTCACTATGTTTCAGGAATTAATGAAATTATGGAACACTGAACATGAGTGAAGGACCCGCTATGGAAGACAATTTTGATATCTGTTTAACTGTTATTTCTGTTTATAGGGAACATCCAACATTTGCACACTTCAAAAAAACGTGCTGATCAAATTATCACGAAATACCTTACTGGATTGTTAGGAAATGACACATAAAACATCCTGTACAATCGTAATTCCTGGTAGGCTGACATTTTCAAGAATTTAAAAAAAAAAAATTTCAACGCTGGTCGGCCGACCAGCATTGGAGAATTTTTTTTTTTTTTTTTAGTCAAAAACTGTTCCTAAATTTTCATATTTTGCTATTCCGCATTTTCTTTGGGATTGATTTCACACCTGTGAAGGAGTATAAGCTTGCTAGACTGATTCTCTGACCTAACAATTCCCAAAGGTCTATAAATTGCTTCGTTTCATCTTAAATGGGGTCAGGGAACAGACTACAAGAACATGTTTGGTTTTCTTGGTTTTTCCAGCATCTAAAAGCCTAAAACGTGAAACAAGTCAGTTTAACAGTATTTTCTATGAAATACTCATCCTCCAAATCCATTTATTTCGGAAAATTGCATCAAAAACACATGTTGTACATTCCCTTTAATAAAATCCCTGAATAAAAAAAAAATTGAGGGCAAACGACGGTCACCTCCTATCTAATCCCCATTCAACCCTTGCCAAATCAGCTGGTTCAATGAACTTTGCAGCCAGGGCTACACCCAGGCCGTGTCAACAAACTTTCGACCAGGCCTCCAGACCTGCCAAGTCTCATTGAAACATCAACAAAGACCTGTAACTTGACACAGCCATCTCCCTTCATAACTGCATACTACGAAAGCCCATTAGCGCCACTGCAAGTATATATGTTGCGGATTATTTAATTCAATATTACGGATTATTAATTCGTTATTACGGATTACTAATTCGTTATAACGGATTATTAATTCGTTATTACGGATTATTTAATTCGTTATTACGGATTACTAATTCGTTATAACGGATTATTTAATTCGTTATTACGGATTATTAATTCGTTATTACGGATTATTAATTCGTTATTACGGATTATTTAATTCGTTATTACGGATTATTAATTCGTTATTACGGATTATTTAATTCGTCATTACGAATTAAGTCTGATGTTCTCACACGTGGAGAGCACGTGACCAGGGGCCTATGTATATTACCAGTCAATTATCTTTCCAGCGCTGTCTGGCAACTGTCTGGACACTGTCTGGCACGTGGCTTTTTTGTTGTATTGTTATGAATAGGGTCTTGCGTAGTGCGGGAAAGTACATGAACCTGCTGCCCAGAGGGCCGCCGTTGACGAGTTGTTGTATAGTTTTTTTTGTAAACGCTGCGCAGGGTTAAACAAGGACATTTGCTGCTTGTACATAACTATACATTGTAGTGATGTACTTGGCTGGACATAAATGCAGGCCTACTTACAGAAATCCTCTTTAGGATTATGTAATGTGTCTTGCATCCATGCACGAATCGACAATTTTGCACACAACACTCATGGGGAAGTTGATAACAGTGTAGCCAACCAGAATATATCAACTGCCAGGAGAACTACTGGATGCAAAAGATGACATCAGTGTATGAAAATAGGGTTAACATTCTTAAAAGCTCACGGGCTGAATCAAAAAAGCGGAACCCAACCCTAAAAAACTATATTTCACATTTAAAAAATATGTCGTACCAAAAATAATAATGACTGGGCAAGCCAATTACATAAGCTACTATTAGATTGAATAAAATTACTGAAATTGCTCAATCCGTTCAAAGAATATGCACCATTCAAACACAATGACCCTAAAGCCTTTTTCATCCAAAAATGCGATATCAAGAATCGTCGTCACAATTGTCTTCAAACATACACCAGCGATAAAACCTCAGTTGAAAAGTTAAAACTATAAAAAAAAATGATTTTATAAATCATATTGTTTGCCTAAGCATGGTTGTTAATAAAGATATTGTGTACACAGTTGTTGACAGTTGTTGAAACAAGTATTCTGTGTCATTTTCTTTGTTGTCCCAAACAGTCAAAACACACAATAAGCTGCTTTTTTTTTACGAAACAAGGTTTTAGGGTAATTGCCTTTAAATGGTGATATTGTTTTTAAACGGATTGAGCAATCAGTATTTTTTTCATTTAAAACTAGCTTATGAAATTGGCTTTCCAGTCCTTATTACTTGTGGTGCTACATATTTTTTTTTCAAATATGAACTATTTTTTGGGGGGTTTGGGTTCCGCTTTTTTTACTCACCCTGTTTGAGCGCATCCGTCATCCGATTTTTGCTTTTAACCTTTACATGACGTTGGATTTTACTTGAGTTTTGATTTAAATCAATCAAATGATTAAAATCAAGTATTTTTTTCATGTCTGTGCATCTCAGATTTGGTTTAGAACATTCTCCTTCTTCAACAAAAAAATTCTGTAAGATTTTTGTTAAACCTCCTTAACCACCCCTGCCATGTGTCTGATGTGATTATTACTCTTTTTGAATATTTTTCAGAATCTAAGCTGACGATACGAAAACTTTGGAGGTCAAACATGATGGTCGGATGGACCACATTAGCTGTCGGTGCGGTTCTACTTTTTATAAGTAAGTGTTCAAACTAAAAATCGAAGAGAAAAGAACAGAAATGGAAATAGACCTATGAGTCATTCTCGATATTCTCCTCAATGATCTCAAGTTTCAATGAACTCGTTTTCAGTGATCACTAACTGTACCGGTTTCTTTTTTTTTACCTGATTTTTTTTGCTTCAAATGTCGGCTAATGACTGTAAATGGTGCCCGACTAAACTTAGTGCAAATATATGGGAGTCCAGAGAGGCCACATAAAGCTTATTCGCGACCATAACCCAATCTAAAAACACGTTAAAATTGTGCAGCAGCAGGATTCCAGTCAAACCAGTGAGTTTGGCGGTTTTGAGACATCATCTTTCATTGAAAAAAAAAACGTTTTCATTTTGCCGACGCGCATGGCTACGACGCATACCAGAAACCAGAGACTTTTTTTTGGCCTAAAGGATTTGAATTCGATTCCGGTCAATCAGGGTCGGATGAAACCACACAAGAGGGCAATAGCGAAGCGAATTCTACGATAGCAACAACAATGTTTGGCTTGATAATACCTCAATTAGCTGCATACCCAAAATCCTCGTGAAATATAAACCGGCATTAAAGGCTTAATATACGAGTTTTGACTTTTGAACTGGGACATATCTTAACTCTGAATTTTACTTGCGATTGTGCTGGGTGTATCAAAAACGTAGTCCGGAAAAAAATGTGAGCATTGAATGTGATAAGTGGTACTAAAGAGCACATTACAGAAATAGGTCTAATATTATGGACTTCATTTTGCAATTTTAACATTTTCCCAACGTCAGTTTCTGTGGAAGTCGCCACCGCATCGGCCCGAGTATGCTACCTATCAACGGAACCGAACCCGGCCGACGGGGGTAGGACTCGCTTCGTCCTGTCGACGGGCGATCCCTGCACCTGCACCGAGGTCCGTTTGGGCGGCCATGTCACCCACCCGATACCCAGAAGCAACCCGCCGGTCTACCTGGACAACCTGTCGGCTGTCAGCGTCGACGGAGTCCGGAGCTCGCAGGGATGTGCGATGAGAGGTAAAACGCCTGAAATTGAGCCTGAAAGTTGACCCCTGGTGGCGCTACTCCGTACCCCTTGGACGATTAGTGTTTAATAGTCGTAGTTTTTTAAAATTACTTTTGCAACATTGAATTCTTACGAAAATCACCCTCGGATAATGCCTTTTGTTAAATTGTTACAAACAACTCAATTTATGGAAACTGAAAAATCACACGACGTGAAAGGGAAACATCATGCCAAACATTGACTTCTCACTTCCGATAAAAACCTGTTCAAAATACATGTGCACTATAGTGGAACTCGGCGTACTCGTATATACAAAGATCAAAATTCATAATTTTGTGGCGGACATAGGGTAAAAACTGAAACTTGAATAGGAGACTAGAGCGCTTTTTGGGGACATACAATAATAAACTTGAAGGACTAATTCTCATTTACAAACACATCTTAAATGACCGTTGATAGGAACTGTATTCAAGCAAGCCCGACTAAATCTAAAATCCATCGGATGTAGGTAGATAAATATTCGCGTCGTTATCATTTTCGTTCTCACGCAAGTATGCGATGTGGAAACAAACGTGACCGAACACGCAGACCTAGGTACGAAAATCTGGATGTGACAGATCGTAAATAAAATTAGTTTTTTTTACTCAACTCTAACTGATTTCTCATCATTTTTTTTCTTGTGTCAGGCAAGATAAAATAACATCAATGTTTGTGGGGTGACTTCGGTTAGAAATTAATCTGCCAAAAATTATAGCAAGAGCAAGGGCAACCCCGCCTAAAATGCCCATAGAAGGGTCGCGAAGGGGTCCGGAAGCTCAGAGACAAAATGGCGTACTTTCAGGCCGCTCTATTGACAGCCCTTTGACTGGCTCTCCTGAGGGTATGTGCCGTACTATGGAACAAAATATTAACAATTTGTTTCGAACCAGTATGGCGCATCAGGCTGGCGTTTATCTCTAGTTCCGTGTCATGAAACGACTAAGAATATTCCTATTCTACCTTTACCTGTTCATCGCTGGTTACTTCCCAGCTAAAATGCTGTACCCATTTATACGGCATGGGTGGAAAGACACATTTACGATGCCAACCCAGTGTTCTTTTTCCCCCCTTTATCTATAGAATAAGCGAGCCGGGCAGTGCTGTCGAATGGGATTACCCAGTGGCGCACCCAGAATTTTGCAGGTGGGGGGGGGGGGCGGGTTCACCAATGATTTTTTTTTTAAGTTTGATTCCTTTAATCAGCAGAAAAAAAATGGGGGGCGGACTATGTTGACGTTGGTGGCGCCATTTACAGCCACATTATACTACTCGAAAACATATTATCACGGTATTACCACATGGTACATATTACCACGGGCAAATAGTGAAACTAGAAAAAAAATTGACCCCCCAAAAATGACAACTTCTTGAGGGGGGGGGGGGCCTCAAGCCCCAAGGACCCCTTGGGGGTGCCACTGGGTTTGCCACGCAGCACCAATGAATTTGCTCAATTCATGGTGTAGACAAGCTGCATGGCATAAAATAACCATTCTGAATCAGCTGAACATAATTCTGTGCGAGGCTGTGACATGCAATTGTCTTGGTCCAGCCTTACCACCTTCACCTTGTTTTGTTTTCTTCTTACTCGAAGAGCCGACAGCGGTACCGGCAATCGCCACATCAGGCCCTGATCAGACACAAGCAGGGACACCGTCTGACCCGGAGTCCACCCCGGTATTCAGCACGAGTGCGCCACAGCCGCCGCGAGCAGATTGCCAAGAATTTTTGGATGCTGGTCAGACAACCAGCGGTGTGTATACCATCCAGCACGCAGGCCAGAAAATGCAGGTCTACTGCCAGATGAGGTCGGGGAAAGGATACATAGTGAGTTAGCAAGGGATATTTCTTTTTAACCTCATGTCAGAAAGCCAGGCAGAGTTCGATCAAGGATCTTTGGTTAGGCCAAAAAAAAATTAGTCGGTCTCTGGTCAGACCGAAGTTCCGGAATTGATGCGGCGACGCGTTTTTTTTTTTTCAAGCTTGTATTGTACAGACAAGGTGGGTACTATTTTGCTTTTGTGTGTGTCCTCATTATACATTGGTGTCCTCCATAATTTGCCTTGGTGCCCTTTATCATTTGCCTTGGTGCAATTTCCCCATTCCTTGGTGCTCCTTGGTACAAACATTTGAGCAGGCGCGGCAATAGAGGGCGCTGTTGTAGCTTCTGTGTTAATTTTGAAAAAAGGTTGACGATCATGATTAAAATCGACGCGCGCGCTGACCAGAGACCGAGTATTTTTTTTTTTCGGCCTTAAAGCTATAGTCCATCATTTGTAGTTAGTGCATTTTGTTCGTTTGAAGCAACAAAAGTGTTCAAAATCTAATGAAGGATACTGAGCAACTAACCTGATGAAGTTTCAGCTAAGCTTCAGCTGTACATTCCGAGAAAAGCAGCATTCTAAGATCTCAATTTCAAATCAAAAGTTACTGAATCATGTTTTGAATTGTTTTGAATTGCAGCTATACGCGGCGTCGCGCACTGATCCGACGAATTATAACAACCACGCGCGCGTGTGCGTCGTTCCAATACTTGTGCGCGCTGCGCTGAATAACAAAACGAACTACTAATTTAAATTTTCCTACGGTGCTTCTTAAGAATCACCGTTGGAAATGCCTTCTTTCGTTGATTACTTCAAAATGACAGCTTCCCAGAAAGAATAATTTCACAGGGAGTTTAGTTCCCTTACTATCTTCAACCAAGTTTGTTTTTCAACAGTAATAATTACGCCAGTTACTTTTCGGATGGCTGCAAATGATGGACTATAGCTTTAACTTGCGTATGATTCGCGACGTACCATGCGCCTGCGGGTGTTAATGTTAAAGTGTAAACATGGTCCGGTTTCCAGACCGACAGAGTCTGACTGATCTGACGAATCAATGATCTATTCAGAGACATACGATGATCGTCAGGTCAGGCAACCAGACCGGACTCAGTTTAAATTTCCAAAACTATGACTCAACATGGTGTTTGTTCAAACTACCGGTACATGGCGTATCCCCATTTTGCGTATTTTATTTTGAGGAAAACAAAGCGCAGGACTCCACCATCGCTACGTAAAGTAGCTATTATAGTAGCGGCAAAATCTTAGCCCTGTCCGCAAAGTCGTTTATCTGTTTCTGAATGACCACGATGAAAAGTCGTACCTAATTTCTTCTGAAATTTACCAACAATATTGATTCTTCAAAGCTACGAGAGGGAAATTCCTGAGAATATTTCTATTCCCCCGAAAAGGATGCAGTTCCATCGCAAGTTACTCCCCAGCTAATGTATTCATACTCCTGGGTGGAGCGAGGCACGCAGGGGCATTTTAATAAGGATACACATAATGGTCAGTAGCAGGAATCGAACCTCTGACCCTCTGACCATAAGTCCTAAGCCCTAACCACTAGGACACATACAGGCCTCTCCACTTACACTTGCATTACTACAATTTGCTTGCTTACTTACCACTGTTGTTTGCTTAGCACTATGCTTACTTAGCACTGTTGTTTGCCCAAATAGGCTTCTAAGTTATTGATCCCATCACTCTGACAGGTGTTTCAGAGACGCCTGGACGGTTCGGAGAGCTTCGACCGAAACTGGCAGGAGTACACCGAGGGTTTCGGGAATCTGACCGGTGAGTTCTGGCTGGGCAACCAGAACCTACGCGCCCTGACAGAACCTCCCTCGGAGACCTGGGAACTGCTGATCACGCTGACATCATTCAGTAACGAAGAGGAGCATGTTCATTATGGCGACTTCAGTATAAGCGGGGACAGGTACGCCCTGGACGTGGACGACTATGACAGCAGTGGACAAGCGGGTAAGTGGAAACGTTAGCCCAGGTGTCTTTTCTCCAACGTGTACAACTCGTTTGTTTTGTCAGTGTAAAAGAAGACCGAGTCCATGGGCTATGGTCATCGTGACCAACACACAGACACCGAAATAGAGTAATAAGGCAGACTCGTATGCTCGTTCACTTTGACTAACTTTCACTTTTTTAGGCAACTTGGTGAAAATCACCCAAATGATGTTAATCTCGCAGAGGAATAAAAGTTGAATGACCGGAAAAAAATTGAGCGGATCACAAAAACTGCAAGAAAAATAATTGCTCTGGAAGTGAAACAGGCGGAAGTGAAATCTCACGAAACTGCAGACCATAACTCAGGACCCAACTCATCCTCTGCATTCATCTATACAGTCACTCCCCACAGGACGATTACGAGCGCTCCCCACACACACAAACCGGTTCAGATTCTCTTTTTTACCTAGTGCCATCCATCTCTATAATTCTAATTTTATCAGATAAATACTGTCTGTTTGCAATGTTTTTACAATTCAGATTAGACCTTTTTAAATAAATAACCTAGCTTATCAGCATGCAGATTTGAATACTTTTTTACAACAATAAGGTTTTTGTTTTCAAGCTTCCCTTTTTTTTTAAGTAGGGACTTTTGCTGGTGGTTTTATACTTATTACCTTTTCATAAACTGAAGTTTTCAACTTATGTAAATTTTTACGTGTCTAATATATGTTTATTGTTTTATGTGCACATTGGGAAAAAGAATTTCACTTTTAAAGTCTGTTAATTGTGATGAAAAACATATATTGTATTGTATTATATTGTATTGAATGACAAAATTAGTAGCTTTAAGTAATGCTTAATTTTGAAACTTGACAAATAATATTTACATCAGATTTGAAAGCATTGTATGACAAGAAGTTTGGCCAAATTAAAAGCAAACAGGTAAAGCGTCCTCTTGCGTTAGCCACATCATTCTGACGGCCATTCAAGATGTCTGCCAAAACTCGGACTTATCATTACGATTGGTTGCCCTCTAGCCCGATCTTGAGCAGACCTAAAATACCATGGTAGTTTGCGGAGGCAAATTTCAAACCAAGGCAGTTTTTAATTTGTCCACGTATTGTTGTTTTGTTTCTGGCAGGAGATTCGCTAACCGACTCGCATCAGAGGTTCTTCACGACGCGCGACCAAGACAACGACGACTCGGGAGGACTCAACTGTGCCGAAACATTTAAGGGAGGGTGGTGGTACAAGAAATGCAAAGCACTCGGCAGCAACCTGAACGGCTTGTACTACAGCAGTCCGTCAGTCGGTGAATATTTCGGGATCCAGTGGGTTTCCTGGAAGGGTGAAACATACTCACTCAAATCGTGTGAAATGAAAATGCGACGCAATCCCACTTTGTCTGGTCATGTTGGGGGTTAACGAAACGGCAAACAGCTACGGCTATTCGCCGTAGAGTGCCATAGTGGCCAAGACCGACGCCTTACGATCATGTTGGATATTCTTTGAGGTCTCGGCTTCAGGAATGGCTCCAACTTGTTCTGTATCCCGGAACTATTTTCAAACTTTCTGTGGTGTAATACAATTATATAAACCACCAACAGTTTTCTTCATATCGATTTTTTTGTGAACCTTTTTTTTTCAATTTTTGTTTTAGTTATTTGATATCGAGGACATTGGATTAAAACAAAAATTGGAGGCTGATTTTTGTTCGAGGGGAATAAAAGTACATGTTTAGTAATAGTACTCTGTGATAAAGAAACTCAAGTTATCAAAATGATGTTACTCATATTAGAGATATAGTAGGCCTACGCTGACCGTCCTCTTCAATAAATCAATTTCGTTCCTCTGCCAAATTTTCAACTTTTGCGATTCGTTTAAGCGAAGATCGAAAACTCACTCAATGCCCTGAAATAGCCTTTTTAAAAACTCAGATGGTTCAGTTGTTCTTTATGCTCATTGTGTCCAATCTGTGATTCAATTTGCGGGTTCGACTTTTAATTAGTTAATTAAAGAGCAAACAATGTCGATACATTTTCTGATACATTCTTGAGACATTATATTAACTGACTTCTTTTTAAACTAATTTGCATGAGTGTGAAGCTGAGTTGTTTATTAAAATATTTACCATGTAGTTAATTAGTTCATATGCATATAATGATTATAGTACATATAAAACTTTTTTTCTATTCCAAAGACCGCCTCTAACAACATTCCAGGGCCCTGAATCTCCCGATTGATAAGATTTATTGCCTCACAAGAACGCCTGCTCGATGTATAGAATGTTTGGTCGTGTTTTTCGATTTTTTTTTTTTTTTGCATGGGGCTTCAACTCCCATAGGAATGCATGTGTGACTTAATAATTATCTCCATGTTTACAATACAAGTAGGGCACTCAGAAAAAGGGGCATCCTTTGCAAACCACTAAACAGTAGCAAATAGCTTGCAAATTCATGGTCATTAGCCCCAACCTCGTTCCCAGGGTGCAAGGGCGGATCGGGGGGGGGGGACCCAAAGGGGGCCATCCCCCCCCAAAAAAAAAAACCACCAAAAAAAAAAAAACCCCACACCTAAACCCAATCGCAATAAACTCAGGCAATGGGTACACCACCATCTTTTCCTAAAAAAAACCACCAGAGGTTAAAGTGGTCAAAAATTGCCTCAGATCGCACCACCAAGCATCTAGAATCGATTTTTTGTCGGGGGCCCTTTTCGGAACCACACGCCGTAATTGTTTTGACCCACTTTTTGGGGAACCAAATTTGTTTTTGGCCCCCCCCAAAAAAATGGTTTTCTTAATACACCCTTTTCAGGGTACCGAGCAGTACGCTCCCACTTCTTCTCTTTTGTTTAAGCAGTTTAATGTTATGTGCTTTTGATCATTTGATCAATGGAAACAGCTCAATGTTAATTTTAAATTATCATTATTTTTATTATTATTATCCCTACAAATGTACCATTAGGGAGACACGTTAGCGTAGAAACTTCGATAGTAGGGAGACACGGGCTTAATAGGGAGACACCTATTGGCGCAGCCCCCCTTTAGAGGAAAAATTTGCTGTCGAAATTAGGTTATATTTGTTGTTCGTGGCCTAATTAGTAAAAATACCGAAATTCGTGGAAAAAGGACAAGGGAATATTGGGTTAGGGCACATTTAATTCGGAAATTGTTTTTGCACAAGTCTATGGGAAAGTCTCCCTATTACCCCATTGCCGGTAAGTATTATTATTATTATATTATTATTACCTGCCCTCTCACCCTTTTTTTTTTGCTCTTTTTTCGTGAATGAAAGCTAAAAGTGAATGACCTTTGCAATATTTTAAAAAGCAACTTAATAATTATAATGTAAATATTTTTCGGGACAAAAGTAGAAATATAATCATGAAGAGTACATCTTGAATTGTATTTATTACCGTGAATAAACAGTTGTTCAAAGCGGATAATGGTCTTATTTTACCAATCAATTATCACTTTTTAAAAGTTCCATGCATGCATTTGCAGTTAATTAGAGTGTATGGATATGTATTACTTTTGAATTCGTCATAAGTGTCTTTATGCATGCAAATCAATATTCAATAAAAATGGAAATGTGTTAAAATTTTAACTAGTTTGTAGAATACTGAAGTGTTTTCTCGGAATAGCTTACAATTATATACTTAGCTTATTTCAAGACATCCGATTATGTAATCAACCATCGAAGGTAGAAAGGCATTATTGGAAAAGTAATGGGTTTCATGGTAACGACTTTGTGATTAGAAAAAAATATTACGCAGGCGTGATTATATCTCCACGAAGGCTTTTAAAGAAATTAAAAAAAAAATCATGAATGTGAGGGGGGGGGGGGGGGAGTTGGAAGGGGGAGGTGCAGGTCTAAGAGTGCAGGTTCTTAAACACTGTATACTCAGTGTATAAAGACACGTCGGTGAAGGGCACAACTAACATTGAACTTACATCACCCCGATGCAAATTCCATCTTATGAATACTTTCATTGCGGTACCTGCTGCTACATTAGATTCGAACCAGCCAATTGATCCCGGGAAGCTGGGTGGTCGAGTGGTAAAACGTCTGCACTAGTACGCCAGAGGATGTGGATTCGAGTCACGCACAAGTAGTTTGTTAATTGCTTCTCACAATCACTCGGGACAACACTGAGGATACAGTGTTTATAAAAAAAAAGGGCAAGGCCAAAACCCAATATTGTATTTACATGCACCCCGACGTATATTCTAATGAATTGGCCGATATTAAAGGACGTTTAACGTCAGCTTTACACGTACCTGTTTAAAACCGGCCAAGCACGTACATTTATTCCCTTATTAAAGCTACAGTCCATCATTTGCAGCTATCCAAAAAGTAACTGACGTAATTATTGTTTGAAAAACAAACTTGGTTGAAAGATAGTAAAAGAATAAACTCCCTGTGAAATCATTCTTTCTGGAAAGCTGTCATTTTGAAGAAATCAACGAAAGAAGGCTTTTTCAATTGTGCGTCTTGAGACGCACCGTTGGAAATTTCCGTTAGTAGTTCGGTTTTTTTTATTCGGCGATGGCTATAATTCGTCGGATCATTGCGCGACATTGCGTAGCTGCAGTCAGCTCAGTGAGAACGTGTCTCGGACGCTGAATTCAGGCTCAATTGAAAACCTGATTCAGCAACTTTTGATTTGAAATCGAGATCCTAGAATGCTGTCTTTCTCGAAATATACAGCTGAAGCTGAGCTGAACTTCATAGTTGTTCAGCACCCTTCTTTAGATTTTGAGCACGTTTGTTGCTTTAAACGAACAAAATACACAAATTACAAATGATGGACTGTACAACTTACACGCTGTAAAGAAGTCAAAGCAAATTCATAGAATGTGATCAGATCCAAATAAACTTATCACCGGGACACTATGTTTCACTAGTTTTAGTTTTTGATATGTCTTGAAAGAGAAAACACTGCTCTTTATTGCAATATATCACAGATTCATGGTAATAATACATTTGGCAGGTAACTCAAATAGCTTTGATGACTTCGGACTGATCGTCTTGGGTCCAATCACATTGCTTTACATGTAATTATATTTGTATATAACATTCGTATTAGCTATCACTTTACGCGCTCCCTGTTAATGTAGTATACTCACCAAACAATATTGAAGGTTTTCCTGGCCAATTTCCTAAAATGTTCATTCACTTCTGAAAATCGCACTCCTATTCGTCTGATTTGAGAATCGCTCTGAACACGCGTTTCATTTTCGCTATCAGAGCATTCAATTCCATTTCAGTTCAATCAATTAAGTGATTGAGCAGCACATTTCGTTTATGTTCATTCAGATTCGTTTACAATACTTCTTTTTTGCCTTAAGAGGGCGATTTTAAACATTGACCATTCTATTTCACTTTTAGATTGATGTTCTGTGATGAAATCTGCTATTTTAAATGAGAAAAACGTACTTTTGATTGCACATTCACGAAATTGTTTTCCAGAACTCTGCCAAAAAAAATGTATGCTTGCGTATATGAATGCACAGGTAACGTAATTGGCCGTCTGTTTCTCAAGACCGAATGTACGGACAATAAAAACGATTGTACTTAGGATGAATTAAAATGGGATTAAAGACGTGCAGTCAAATTCAGACGAAAACGAATGACAGATTTTCAAAAGTGAATGAAAATTTCGGGAAATTGGCCGGTAACACCTATGTTATTCCAAACAGTTAATAACATTTAACATAATAAAAATCACCCCGACGAAAATTCCATCTAAAGCCCGGTTCATACTTCATGTGAAAGCGATTGCAAAGCGAATTTGACGTCATGAAACATTCGCTGAGAAATTCGCCCGAGTTGAAATATGTTTAACTTTGATGAATGAACCGGGCTTCATGAGTAATTTAAACCGTTGTTACAAAGAACACATTTATAATAAAATGCATGTTCTAAATTCCAGATAAACGTATTAAAAGTTGAGGAGAAAATAATCCCTCAAAAATGTACCCTGTCTTCTGTTTTTGCCTTGAATGTGATAGAACGATGACTGTTCTATTTTCCAACACCCCTATCTTCCGACATCCCCATGTTTGGGCAACCCAAACATAAGATTGTGTTACGCCCGGTTAGGGTTAGGGTTAGGGTTAGGACTAGGAATATGTGCGGTCGGAACACAGGGGTGTCAGAACATAGAAGTGTAACCGATAGTACAGGCAACTGTTTTAACAAAAATGATACAAAATAAATGTTTAGGTAAATCCTTTACCATTTTTTAAAAGGCAGTAAACAGTTTGTGTTTTTAGAAAAACAATAATATCGAATTAAAAAGAAAAGGGCAAATTAAAAACCTTCAGATGGGTTAAAAAAAAAAATCAAAAAAAAAAAAGAAAAGACATCACCAATGATTAATCGGTCTGTTTTCATCAGAAAGCTATTAACTTTTGGAGAGACTGAAAACGAGGCCACAAGCAGACGGATAATTGTTTTGTTTCTTTGTGTCGATTACTGCAGTTTCTACATTATGTATGATGGGTGCTTTAATGGTGTGTTCACATCAGGCAAATCGACTGTCAAAATGGCGAAATACCAAAGCTCATAGCAAACCTGGTGTGAGGGGTTGATCTTTTCTATTCAAAAAAGTGGACATTTCTTCAGATTAAAAATGGACAGCTCAATAACGGTTCCATGCTGAACTCGAGGTGGTTCTTCGGACCCTTCCCACCAGAACAATCAAACCGAGAACACATGTAATTACTTTTGTACGAGAACAGCAAAAAGAGATAAAGTTTAAACCTCAGTTGGATTTTAAAACCTTTTCAGTGTTCATCTCAACATTCCACCACTGATCACTCAACACATTTTGTTTTGAAATGTCTTATTAGTTATTTCATTACACGCACGTGTGTGATATGAGACCAGTTTTGCAGTCAATATCAAAACTAAGTGTAAAGGAACGCTATTGAAAGTCGTGGGCATCGCGTGCCAAAAAAAGCTCCTTCCATAGTTACGGTAATTATTGAGAGCACTATTTACCAACAGTTGTTTGTATCACGGAGACTTCTTAATTTTAAACAAATTTCGGATATGCGAATTACGAACAGGTCCGTTTAATGAAAAATAATGTCTATAATTTATCCCTCCCTTCTTTTATAATGTTTACTTCATTGCATATTGCCCGGGCATTTAATCTAAAAATCGATAATCTACCTGAATAGCCCTCCTTTGTAAGTGTAAACAGTTGTGTTTAATTAGAGATTGAAAATGCAATAAAAATTCAACACCTTTCAACTACCTACCCGAAAGGCTAAAGTACATAAAAATAATAATAATGATACTCGAAAAAGGTGACATCACTATGGATTAATTGAAATTTTTCACTGTTTCCATAAAAAAAAAATCATTGACATTTGGTGAGAGTGAAAATGAGGCCACAAGCAGACAGATAATTGTTTTGTTTCTTTGTGTAGATTCCCGCAGTTACTCCATTATGTATGATAGCCCAGCTCAAATTGTTG